GGTATTTATGAATATTGGGTAATTTAAACACAATAGACATAGGAAATGAATATATTATTTGCATCTTACACGTGTCCGAATTACTGCTTTTATAATTCATAAAATTTTTTTCAGTCGATAAAATTTCTAGATCGTTACAGAATAATTATACAAATTAATAGACAATATATTTGTTCGATGCCGCAAAGTATAGAGGGTGCATTGGCAGTATGAGAAAACAATACACATAGAAACTTTAATTGAAGCTTAATATAACTCCACCCTAAATCAAATTGGAATAGAAACCAGTCTCATAAAAGCGCTAAAAGAGAGGAAAACGTTCAAGTGTTCTTCACAAAAGATATATTTGTTTACGTCACTCAATTATAGATGAAATTTTGAATAAATAAAAAACTAACTAGGTTATAGGTCGTTTCATAAATAACATAATTGATAGTTGTTGTAGGAGACCTACTATAGTTATACAATGGACTGAGGTCACAGTTGTTGCTCAAATGACACACGGATTGATTTAAATCACAAACCCTTTATCATTAAAACCAGGTGATATTTTCTGCCAATTGCATCTACACTTTCAAGAATTTCCGAACATACGCAAATCTGCTTGGAATACTTATCCCATCTTCAGACAGTTTTGGGATACCACAGACTTTAAGGGACTGAATAGCCGCTTTTGTGGATTACTATCATAAAAATCATCGGAAGGGTTTGAATCTCCATGTTGTACAGGATTTTCACAAAAACCGAAGTGGGATGTGTACATATACCAGTTTTAGACCTAAAGCAATTATAATAAAAATATATAGTGAATATTCAAGATACGTATAATCCATGGGGACTATGTCAAGACAAATTGTGACTATGAAATATCAAAATATACATACATAGGATGGAAAAATTGGCTGGGTCCTTCAACATCCGAAAATTTTTAGTACTTTTCAAGGTCCCGTAAGGCCGAATTAACTTCGTAACTTCAAACTAATCAACATTGGAAATACTCAATTATTGGATCTATGCCTAAATGAGGATATATTTATATAGATACTTAAAAATTCGGTTGAAAGGTGTTCGAAATCTTTAAAATGCTGAATAATGGGAGATACTGTTATACGGGGTCTATTCTGAAACTAGGGCCAATGTTTAACATTTTTGGAAGGTACATTTTCTAGCCCTTGAGAATACAAAATATCAAACTCCCAAAGAAAAACTTCAGTACAAAGATTTGACACCCAATGAGAATGCAAAATATAAGAGCCAATTCTATTTAAAATAGTGCCCGAAATCACCGAATATTGGGTGGGGTATATAAGAAAAGCTCTATATTTAACACTAGATTTGCCTTTACGAAAGTGAGCCAATTTGACACATACCATTAAATTGAAGTTCCAAGTTTTTTGACATTGCGTGTGTTATTTTGACATTTTCCTTCACATTCTGTGAGTCTTATTCGTTATGGTGAAAACCAATTTGTGATAAATGATCTACCTTTACATGTTCTTTCGATTGAGCTCGCGTTCGAATACATTTTCGTCTAGGAAGGGTTTAGAGAAACCCAATTTGTTTTTTTTTTTCAAATGGAAGAGAAACCCCTGATTGATCGACTTTGTGAAACTATATCGTGTTCGTTGGTGGGGATTCTTGATTAGGTCCCTCTTGTATCTCCTCTAAAAAAGATCCATATTTTGAAAATTTATAAATTCCTTATAATGCGAACGGAATATATTCGTCAAACATTATTTTTGAAAAGTTGTTTATTATTTCCGATTTTACCCCTATATTAGAACTCTAAGAAATGATTAATCTTGATAGATTCCGAAAAAACGTTCCGATGGATCCAGTTCCTTAGGTACCTCCTCCAAAAATTGTCAATATTTAAACTTTTTTCTTCTTAGTTACATAGCCCTTGTGCTACTACAATGTTACTTAGTTATAAGGTCAATTCTGAGTGGTACGCCACAATATAAAAAAACCGACATGAGAACATTATTAATCAATTTCTCACATATTGGCTCATACTAGCGACTTGTGACCTGTCAAAAGTAGGATCTGCCGTACAGAGTATCCGTACGCTTCACTTTAACTCTGAAGATTAAGAAAAAACCCAAAAAGACAACTGAATAAGCCTTGGGAATACTTTGAAAAAAGAACCATTTTTTTAATGACAAATATTCGCATTTTCATTATAAGACCAAAAGAAAGTTAAATATTGTTATGAGATGAGAAAATGAACCAATAAGCAATGGACAAAAAATGACCTTACTATGCCATAGATAAAATATATATATATATATATATATATATTTAAATTTGAGAGATATGGATCTAAACATATACGATATTACATATCGAATATAATTTTTATCAAATGGCTATGTTCGGCATATATTCAAAACCGAATACCCTTATTTACGTTAGGCAATTCCATTATTTCTCTGGCGTACGAACAAAAAAATATGGTGCAATTATCGGAACTATCGGAAACTGAACTATGCAATACATCCGCATCTGGCTATGATACGTTTGATACACGAATCCATGAACATATTTTTAGGATATGCAGCAATATTTTCATCTACATAGTATACATTTTATAGACCTAAAGATATTGTGGAGGCCCGTTTATTGAATTCAATATTCAATTTATTTATATAAATAAATGTGTTTCTATCATACACCATGAGGTGTAGTGTATATTAAATGTGTCGTTCCGTTTGCAACACATCGAACTATTCACCGGAGATCCCGTAATGTATAGGTATTCTTAATCAGAATAAAATTCTATATTAATTCTCATTGGGTAAAATATACGATACGATATGGGCTCATGTTTCGGTGTAGCCCCCAATATATGTGTACCTTGAATTATTTGGTATTCTGGGGGTTTTGAGCACCTCTTTCAACCAAATTAGATTTAATTTGGTATTTCCACATTTGGTGTCAAAATCTTACTACCACAAAATTATCAATGGCCGTGAATGTTTTGAATATGGCTCCATTTTCGACATTTTAAAGGTTTAAAAGCCGCACCAGGTTGGCAGTAATTTTGTCTTGAGGATTGTTATGTAAAGATTTTAGTTGCACTTTCCAACCGAAGAGATCTTACTTTGGCATTGTGAGTTCCTTGATGTGAATTGTTTCAGAATATGTTCGATATGAGTTCATGTTTTGAAAGATCTCTCATATAAAACAGAGCGTTCTATTTTGCTATTTTGAATTTTTTTTCACATTATTCGGGTTTGTCGCGCACCGACAATGTTCGAATTCTTTGAGGATTAAATAAGTCCTGGTAGTCCTGATATAACCCGCCGTGTTTTTGATATTTTTAATATTTTAGCCACATCTTTTTAAATGGTACAATTAAAAGGTCCCGCTTAATTGTAGGTATGCTGAAGTTCTTATCCTATTTTCGGAACTTGATTATCGATAATTTGGCATTTAATTGTCTGAGAACAAAACAACCTACTAGCAGGAAATTTACTATGATATTGTCTCCATATCCTTTTTTAAGATTTTGTATGCACAGCATGGTGGAGGGTATAAAATGTTCGGTTGAACTTGGCGATTGTTTTTACTTTGTACCAATTCCTTGTTTATGTTTTTACGACAATTCTGCAAAATATAATTTTTTTCTAAAATAATTTTCAAAAATCTTTTAAAAACATTTGGTAATCATCTTCTGGGAGTACATTTTTAGTCTTTCATTTTCTAATACTTTCATCTTCCTTTGGGATATATTTTTTACCAGAGCATTTTCAATTTGCAAAGTTTAGGAAGATGAAATTAAAAAAAAGGGAATAGGGAAAGAATTTTATTCTTAGATAAAATTTAGATAAATTTAGAAGAATAGAAATTTAGTGAGAATAGTCGAGAATAGAACTTAGTTTTAATTAATCAATGTGTGTGTTTTTGGAAGGCTTGTGATTAATACCAATATTTTGTTTCTTGGTATATAATAATACAATTATAACTTAAACTATTATTATTTTTTTAATTAATTTATGTTAAATCTAAAAAAGAAAAGAATAAAGAGTGTCTTTTTCTTGGTATTGTGTTTATTTATTTTGTGTATGTGTGTGGATGAGGATGTAATTTTTTTATTATTCTATATACAAATAAGACAAATAAATAAATTATGCTACTACAATTATGGTTATTTATGTTTGTATGTATGTCATTTTTAAAATAACATTTTAAGACAAAGAAAAGAAATGAAACAAAAAACATCAACAGTAAATATTAATAATTAAATATTAATAGAGTAATTAATATTAAGATTATATTAATTAAATTTATAAAGTAATTATCAAATAAGTGATTTTAATTTTATTAAAAATAAATATTATTATTTAAAATGTGTTTTATGTGTGTGTGTTTTAAATCTCACTCGTTATCACGTGTAAATATTAAAAAAGATAAGACATAAATTATTATTTAAAAAAATATAATTATTTTTAAAATTAATAGTTATAAAATTAATGACTAGTATTACAAAAAAAGTTTTGACATTGAACAACGTTTAGAGCCTTTTTTAAATCTTTGGCATGAAAAATTATTTTTTTTTTTAATTTTTACTAAAATAAATAATTGAGTCTAAAATGTCATTTAAATAATTTTGTGTGTTTTGGTTTGACATTTTGTTTTTTTTTTTCTTATATAGAAATGCTGTTTAAAATTATTGACTATAACAAAAAAGGTGTGTGTGTGTGTGTTTTGGCATAACTGAGTATTTTTATTTCACTTAGCTGGCCATTAATGTTTGAAATAAATAAATTAATAATTTTTTTATTAATTATTATTTTTGTTTTTGCTTTAATGGCGATTGTCATTTAACTTGTTGTTTTTATTTTATTTTTTTCTACACTTTATCTATGATTTGTATTCATATTTTTTCACATTTCTTGTTCTTAGAAATTTCTCAGGGTTTCTTCTGTAGGAATATTGGATTTTCTTTGAATTTGTAATTTTTTTCTTGTTTTCTTTCTTTTTTATTAAAATTTTTGTTATGGTTGTTGTTGCTGGGACTGTTGCTGCTGCTGCTGCTGTTGTTGTTGGTTATGATGCTGTTGCACGGCATGATTTTGATTATTTGTAATTTGTACCGAGGTTTCATTGTCCGTAACACGATGGGTCTTCATGTGGGCACTGCGACTTTTTATTTTATTGAATACTCTGAAAAGACAGATTTTTTTTGGGGAGGAGGGGAAAAGAAAAAAAAGTACACAAAGAACATCAATTGGTTATATTCCATAAAATTTCCTAAATTTATATAAAAATATTGATTTTTTTAAGTTAAAGAAAGCTTTGAAATACAGCATAATTATAGAAGCATGCAGCATTTTTTTATTAAGAATGGTGTATAGATTTTTTGGCCAATTTCAATACTTTAAATAAACATTTATCAAACATGGGCATGCATACAGTAAGATTTTATTAGAAATTGTACATTTTTATTGTTGTTTTTTGTTTTGTTTACTTATCTGTGTTGTTGCAATTTGAAAGGCGTGGACAGAGAGCAGGTGATAGTTGAAAACGTTTTTTTTAATCAAAAATGAAACTTAAAAAAGGACAGAAATTAGTGGAAAGAAAAGTGAATAGAATGTAAAGAGATAATGTGAAAGTAAATACAAAAAGTTAAGAGAAGAAGGCCAAATCGAGGTACGCTCCTGAAACAAAATGTGATCTAAAGAACGATTAATGTACCTATCTTTTGGAACATCCTACAAAATGACCTTTTTTAATTCAAGTTCAAAGGCGGGACCCTTCCTGTATAAACCTGATCTTGAAACTGTAATTTTATATTAATATTCAACTAATTTTAAATTTTATTTATTTCACAAGAAAGTATTCGATTCAACATTCATGGAGTGTAAATCCAATATTTTCATGAGGCACATTTTTAGCCAAGAACAGGATACGTAAATTTAGACTCAATGTAATCTTAGGTAATTGGTCTCCAGCACAGTAAGTATATCTCTGAACCTCGTTGAATTCAAATGAAAATAACTCAGCGATTACTTAACCGATTTTAAAAACCAGTGAGCGGAGCAGTGTAGTGGGTCGGGGCCGACCATACGATACCCTACACAACTTCCATGAAAATCTAACGTTCTGTGGTTCTATATTCTGAGATTGGGCAATATTTCGCGATATTTGCACACTTTTGACTGGCTAGAGGTCAGCAAATGTTATTAATAATCAGTACAGCCCCTCTAATTACTTGTCCAGATTCCCTTCACCGTGCGTTGTGTTGTGATGTTCGGCTTTCGAATCGAAAAGTACAAATAATTAAGTTTTCGGTCCACTTCATCCGAAAAATTATCATCTGATCATCATCTAACATTTTAGGCATTGTCCTTGACCACTACTGGAACCTCATGGAACATTTCAAAGCGATCAGCGCTATATTTCCGCCCTCCAGTGTGGTAATAGGTTACTAAATAATATATGAATACGTAAGCACCTGTAGATATTTAAGTGTAACTCCCGCATCCGAGTACATAGGACAATATTATTAATTTAAAGGTCAACCACTCCTCTTGGATATATTATCAACTTCTTGGGCCTATGTCCTTCAGTGGTAAATATATACGCTATAGAATAAAAATTTTGTCATTTTTCACACAAAAGTTAGGGTCCATTTGACCCGCTAAATACTGACCGATCTTTTTCAAAACAGACATGCTTATTCTTTGGCCCGACCCCCTTCGCGGTGTTTGGGCCATAATTGCGGCCTCGGAAGCGATCAGAAAAACCGACAAAAATAAAGTTTTTGATCCATTTCATCCCCTAAATATAAATCGATCTTTTCCATAAACAATAGGGGTCTTCATTGGCCATAACCCATCCTACATGCGAAATTTCGTGAAGATTGGTTCATAACTGTGGCCTGTATCGTGTTTACAAATTATAATGGACAGACGGACGGACGGACACACATGTCTAGATCGACTCAGCTAGTCGAGATATGACGATTGGTATACTTAAAGGTGGGTCTAGGACCAATATTTCGCGGTGTTACAAAGTCTTGGGGCTGCCAACATAGTTGTGTAGGGTATAAAGACCACACCTCCTCTAGCTCCTGAAAAAAGTATTTAAAGCAAAATCCACGCCTTTTTTAGCTTCTTAAAATTGAGGTACGGGCCAAATGTTTGTAATAGGCAAAAGGAATCGAGACCCATGGTTCCTTTTGAGAATATGCATAGTATCACTTTCTGAGTCGATTTACGCATGTCCGTCCGTCCGTCCATCTATTTTTGTGAACAAAGTGCAGGTCGCATTTATGATCCGATTGGGATGAAATTTGGCACAGTTCACTTGTTTGGCCCAAGGACGAACCCTATTGAAATTGAAGAAAATCGGTTCAGATTTAGATATATCTCCCTATATAGTTTCGTCCGATTTTAGGTAAATGATGCACCAAACTCCCAATATTTGTCCGATTGCACAGCGCACTGAATCAGGTTCATACTTATGTATGCGATGTTTTATTGGAATAAGTTCAGATTTAGATATAGCTCTCATATATAGTGTGAATAATACAACAAACTCCCAATATTTGTCCGATTGGGACAAAATTTTTCATAGAGTACTGAATTAGGTCCAGATTGATGTCTGCGAAGTTTTGTTAAAATCGGCTCAGATTTAGATATAGCTCTCATATATAGTTTCGTTCGATTTTTTGTGAATGATACACCAAACACCCAATATTTGTCCGATTGAGCAAAATTTTGCATAGCGAATGCAATTGAGGAAAAAATGATGTGTGACAAGGTTTGTTGAAACGGTTCAGATTTTGATATAGGCCTAGAATTTTCTAGCCCAAGAAAAAACCACTTTGAATAAATCCCATCTTCATCTGACCCCGAAAAACGTCTCAACATCTCCCGCTTCACTTTCAAGTCAATGCTCTCACAATTCCTATGACACCGAATTTATTTAAATATCTCAAGGGATTACCAAGTTATGAGTAAAATAGGCTGTCATTAAATATTCCACTTGCTCTATTTGAATCTACCGCATCAACAGATGGCGCTGACGGTGTGACATTGCCGAGGTTACCAACTCCATGGGAAATGAACATAATGCTGGATTACTCATAACTTTTGATTGCGTAGAGATATTTGAATAAATCCAAGGTTAAAGGTGTTTATTATTAAAGGAACTTTCGCATTTTCGTTATAAAAACCTGAAAATTTCATTATCAGAAAAATGTTCTTATCCATTACTTTAGAAACACACAATCAGAATTAGAGCACAGTTCAGTGTTAGAAATGGCATACAGAAGTCGAGAGTGAAAAAAACGGAAGTGGAAAAGCAGGACTTTTGTGAAGTAAGGAAATTTGTATTTTCAAAAAACAATTCGATATGTGTAAAACTATAAAAATAACATTCAGCGAAAAATTCGAAAATTGTTTTATTTAAATTTCATTTTATATACAAAAGGGGGTGAGACAAAATTTCGAAGTAGTTATAAAGGTTACCAATTTGTGGAATTGTTTTTTTATTTAAAAAATAACAAGAACATGGACAATTTTGAGGTAAAAGAAACAAACGATGGATTTGGTGTATTATAAATAAATTTGGTTGGACGTGGGGAAATGAGAAAACAGAATGGACAAAAAAAGAAAAAACAAAACTTAAACATTCTGTTAAAAACTTACAATTACAATCCATGTTGTTTGCTGGTCTAATATTGGTGATTTACTTTTTTCTTTTTCAAATATATTGATTTCGAGTTTAATTGATTGTTTTCTTTCTATATTGGTTTGGAATAATTTTTTTTTTTTTTTTTTTTTTTTTTGATAAAGTTGGACAACAGTATGTTGTTATGCGGATTAACTTTACGATGTTTGAAGACTTTCTTTCTTCGTCATATTCAACGATTTTGTTTAAAAACTTCTATGAGCTGTGAATTTTCGCTTTTGGATGTAGTTATTTTTTGTTCGATGTAAAAAATATATATAGAAAATACATATTGAAAAAAATACAACAACAAATAAACAACAATTATTAATATTTATACGGTATATGTGAACAATGCTAAATATTAAATTGAATTGTTAATAATATTAATTGGGATTTACATGAACACAAACAACGAAAAATTCATTAAAATTTGGGCTAAGGTTTCATCTAATAAAGCATCAAGGTTTTCATCAATCAAACACACATATATAAGACTTCTTCTATAAGTTATATATAATTTAACAACAAATTAAATGAACTACAAGCAATAAAAAATAAAAAAAAAACAATTCAGTCGAATTTTTATTTGGGACTTTGTTTTTCGGCATCGTCCTAGTCCTTGAATTGATTGATATTTTTAAAATTATTCTATGCATTTTTATAAAATTAGAAACAAGTGAATTTTAGAGACTAGGACCAGATTCATTAACAAGGAGGCTTTTTTTGATATTAGAATCAAACCTTAAGACTTTGTCGAAAAACCAAAGTACATTCATAGGACTGACAAAAATAAGTTTTCAAATATCGGGCAAATTTGCATCGTTTATCATTTCCGATTTTTTACGGAATCATTTTAAATATTTGTTAAATATAGTATGCCATTTTTATTGCTATAATCAATATTTGTATACCTCCATCTTTAAAACTTTAATACAAGGAATCTGATTTGTCCCAAACTTTGCAGAAGTCAACAACCAGAAATTTCCATTATGCTTCATATTCTTAAATCTTCAAAACGAATCAAAACATAACAAAAATATAACAAGACAACTGATATAACCCTTTCTTCCAATATAATACACTGGGAATGCATGCGCCACCAGTCAATCTGATTTATCGGCGGAGTTAGCATTGGCACGACGTTATAGAGGATCGGCGGCTGACCAATGGGCAAGTCCAAGCATGGTTTAATCCATCTTTTATGCACTAAAAGCAATTGTCGAAGCAATTTGTCCACGTCGATATAGACACCTAAATTATATATATTCTTGATCAGAATAAAATTTTATGACGATTTAGCCATGTACGTCTGTTTGTCCATCTGAATTCGCAATATAAATGGAGCTTTGAAAATTTTCACTAACATTCTTTTTACTCCTAGGATGTTTGGTATTATACGTGGTTTATATCTGTACACGTTTTGGTATTGCTCCCATTTGACGGCACTGCCCAATTTTTGATATTTTTGAAGGTTCTAAGAGCATTTTCTAAAAGAAAGAGCTATTATCTGACATACCGAGTTTTTGGAGGTTGACATACATCTATGCAGAAAATTACCAGCACAGGCCCTTGTTTTGACATAGGTTAGCCTCGTTTTTAAACCGAAAAGTCTCTAATATTGTTTATTTACTATAGGTCAATTTTTTCGATATTTTGAGGAATTTTTAGTCACATTTTCCAAACGAAAACGCTCCTGTTTGGCATTGCGGGGCTTGGTGGTCCATGTTTTGTAATTGTCCCAAAATAATTTTTAGCATGTTTAAGGCTTTCGATTGAAAACTGTGCCTAGTTTTCAATCGAAACTGCATCAGAAATTATCACTATACTATTTACACCCTCTTGTAAGTATCAAGAAATATGCCAGATTTAGAACGGTCAACAGCTCCGTTCTAAACCTGGCATATTTCCAAATCTTGTTTTCCAGACATAAAATAAAAATTTGGTCACTTTAGGCGTCGTCGTTGGGTCTTTGTTCTTCCTGAGTAAATATATACGCCCCAGAATACAAATATTGTAATTTTTATACCCTCCACCATAGTATGGAGGGTATATTAATTTTGTCATTCCGTTTGTAACTCATCGAAATATTCATTTCCGACCCTATAAAGTATATATATTCTTGATCAGGGTAAAATTCTAAGACGATCTAGCCATGTCCGTCCGTCTGTCCGTCCGTCTGTCCGTCCGTCTGTTGTAATCACGCTATCTTCTGAAGGAATTGAGATAGGGTGCTGAAATTTTGCATAGGGTTGTCTTTTGTCTGCAGGCAGTTCAAGTTCGAAGATGGGATATATCGGTCCACGTTTAGGCATAGCTCCCATATAAGGGTACCCGGCAAATTTCGGTATTTTGGGGTTCTTGAGCGCGTTTTTCAGCCGAATTCGCTGAAATTTGGTACATTGGGTTCTTATTGGATGCTAAATGTCTCCACGAAAAATTATAAGTATGGGTCCATATTTTCTGGTAGCCCCCATATAACGGAACCTCCTAATTGTCAGTATTTTGGGGGTTTTGGTCGTATTTTTTCGCCGAATTGGCTGTAATTTAGTGTTTTGAGTTCCTAATAGGTACCAAATCTCTCTAAAAAAAATTATGTATATAGGTCAATTTTTTCGGGTAGCCCCCATATAAGGGTACCCCCAAATTTCGGTATTTTGGGTTCTTGAGCACGTTTTTCAGCCGAATTCGCTGAAATTTGCTACATTGGGTTCTTATTGGGTCCTAAATGTCTTCACAAAAAATTATAAATATAGGTCCACTTTTTCTGGTAGCCCCCATATAACGGTACCTCCCAATTTTCAGAATTTTGGGGGTTTTGATCGTATTTTTGCGCCGAATTAGCTGTAATTTAGTATTTTGAGTTCTTAATGGGTACCAAATCTCTCTACCAAAAATTATTAATATTCGCCCCCTTTTTGGGGTAGTCCCAATATAACCCCTTTTATATATTAAAATAGTTATCTGATATGTTCCGCGTTTTGAGTTTGGTTCTAAGACTCTATTGTAATCATTTCACCTGCGGGGGATAGCGAGGTAAAAAATTAGAACGTAAGGTTCGATAATGAACTATAGCCGCATTTAGACCTAGCCTCTGTGGAGGTTTCAGAAGGAGTGGACCGATATTCCCCATCTTCGAATTTGAATTATCAATTAAAAATTTCTGAAATTTGTATTATGGTTTACATAATTCGATTTTAGACATGTCGGTATAGGTCCACTTTTTGGTATGTTCCCTTTATTTTAATTTCTAGTACCTGTCAGTATATCCATGGTGGAGGGTATCCAAAGTTCGGCCCGGCCGAACTTAACGCTTTTTCACTTGTTCACACAAAAGTCTGGGTCCATTTGATCCGCTAAATATTGAGCGAATTTAATCAAAACAATCATGTTTATTCTTTGAGTGATTTCTTACCCTAAATATAAACCGATTGTCACCAAAACCAATAGCGTCTCTCTTGACCAGAATCGGTCCTACATACAAAATTCCGTTAATATTGGTCCATAACTGTGGCCTGTATCGTGTTTATAATAATGGGCAGATGGACGGACACAGATGTCTAGATTGATTCAGTTAGTCGAGATATGACCTCGGTATATTAAAACGTGTATCAACTACCAATATTTCGCGGTGTTACAAACTCATGGGATCACACTCTTGGGATCACGTTGAAATCGGCCCAGATTTATATATGGGAGCCAGCAACGTACACAGGATTTCATTTCATTTCGGGGGGTAGTACAAAATTAAAAAATCCACTGTTGCAAACATAAATTTACTGTGAAAAAGATTCATTTCGCCGCCTGCGTACGTCCCTGATGGGAGCTGTCATGTAATAGAATTTTAGAGGAGTCTACGTTTATCCATTGACCCCAAATTTTGCTAGCGTACCGAAATAAGACTAGAATTTCGTTTAAATTGGGGGATATTAGGATGCAGCTCCCAGATATACATTTTTCCGATTAAAATAGAATTTTGCACAGTCTACAGAATTGAATATAGAGTGGAGTGTTTCACGATTCTTTTAAATCGGTTCAGATTTACAGTTCTCATATGTAAATATATGGTAGTATATGGTCTGTCCCGTTCGATTTTGGTCCTTTTAATTTGCAATTGGGCACACAGATATATCAATATATTAATTAATAAGACGTAACTGATCTTTAATAACACATTTTAAAATAATCGGTTCGTTTTACATTCAGATTTTTTCAACTTCGGGACCAAAAATTAAAATCAACTTAAACTCCAAAAAAAAAAAAAAATAAATGCAACCAATCCGAAACTACAAAACCAACAACAAACTCATAAACAATAAATTCACACAAAACTTGTTCACTAAAATATCGGTAAATATATATGTTATAATCGATATGCATGTATGTATTATGGTAAATAGCTTTCGTTCAATTGATTTTTCATTTCTCAATAACGTGACAAAAAACGAACAGGGAATGTGAATTTTAGTTTGGGGGAATCTTACTTGCCGCACACCTTGCAGGGAAATTCGGTAATGTCTTTATTGGCATTATTGGGATCTTTGGAATTGCCACTGCCCGGCATGGCTGACTGGCTGCCATTCAATTGCAGTGTATTCGAACCACTGTGCATTGTAGTTTGTTGGTGGTTGTTACTGTTGTTGTTGTTGCTAGCTGAGGAGGTGTTCGCAGACGAGGCATTGGGATTAGTGCTGTTTTGGTTGTTGTTGTTGCTATTATTGCTAGCATTGTTGTTGTTATTACTGTTGCCATTCTGGCTGTTGCTATTGTTATTATGCGTATTACGGCCATAGGTATGAATGCGTGTGTGACCATGCAGGGCTGCTTTAGAAGAAAAGCTCTGCAAAAATTGCGATTTTTGTTTTTTTTGTAAAGCAAGGAGAGGTTAAAGCAAGGTGTTATTGTTGATACTTACCGCTGAACAATCGGGTATTTCACACACATAGGGCTTCGGATCAGCTGTATGATGTTGTATCTGGGGTGGTGTCTCAGTTTTTAGGTGGGTCACTTTATAGTCCACACACAGCTTCTTCCAGAAATAATACATTTGTACACATTCACCCGTGGATTTTGTGCCGAGCTGGAAGGGAGCGATAAGAAAAGGAATGAAATCGCAATTCAGACCTCATGTGAACTGTGGTCTGATTATTTTTCTCAGGTGAACTGAGGTCTCCGATTTTCTTTCTATAGAAAAACTATGGTCCTCAGATGGACTGACGTCTGACTTTTTTCTACAGAGGTCTGATTTTTTCTATAGAAAAAAGTTCCGACCTCAGGTGAACAAAGGTCTGATTTTTTCTATAGAAAATAGTTCCGACCTCAGCTGAAATGGGGTCTGATTTTTTTCTATAGAAAAAGGTACCAACCTCAGGTGAACTGAGGTCTGATTTTTTCTAGAGAAAAACAGTCGTCCTCAGGTGAACTGAGGTTGGATTTTTTTCTATAGAAAAAAGTACCGACCTCATGTGAACTGAGGTCGGATTTTTTTCTATAGAAAAAAATACCGACCTCACGTGAACTTATGTCGGATTTTTTTTCTATAGAAAAATGTTCCGACCTCAGGTGAACTGAGGTCTGATTTTTTTTTCTATAGAAAAAAGTTCCTACCTCAGGTGAACTGAGGTCTGATTTTTTTTCTATAGAAAAAAGTTCCTACCTCAGGTGAACTGAGGTCTGATTTGGTTTTAAAGAAAAAAGTTCTGACCTCAGGTGGACTGAGGTGTGATTTGTTTCTAAAGAAAAAAGTTCCGACCTCAGGTGAACTGAGGTCTGTTTTTTTTCTAAAGAAAAAAGTTCCGACCTCAGGTGAACTGAGGTCTGTTTTTTTTTCTATAGAAAAAAGTTCCGACCTCAGGTGAACTGAGGTCAGACTTTTTTCTACAGAAAAAAGTTCCGACCTCAGGTGAACTGAGGTTTGATTTTTTTCTATAGAAAAAAGTTCCGACCTCAGGTAAACTGAGTTCTGATTTGTTTCTATAGAAAAAAGTTCCGGCCTCAGGTGAACTAAGGTCTGATTTGTTTCTAAAGAAAAAAGTTTCTAAAGGAAGAAGTGTCGACCTCAGGTGGACTCAGGTCTGATTTGTTTCTAAAAAAAAATGTTCCGACCTCAGGTGAACTGAGGTCTGATTTGTTTCTAAAGAAAAAAGTTCCGACTTCAGGTGAACTGAGACTGATTTTTTTTCTACAGAAAAAAAAGACTTCAAGTTTATCTGAGGAAAAAATTGTATCTATAAAAAATCAGACCTCAGGTTCACCTGTTATCAGACCCCAGTTCATCTGAGGTCTGAGTTTTTTTGTAGGGAAAAAATTCACCCAATTCCTCCCCTTCGCACTTACCTCCTTCGAAATTTTACTAAACTCCTTGCCATGTTTCTCGAGGCCCTTCAGGAAACATTCCAATTCCTGGGAGGACCATTTCATTTGGAACGAATTCGATTGGGTCTGTAAGAGATTTAACACGGCCGTGGCTGTATTACCCTGGGCCTGTAGCAGAGTTTGCAATGCCACCTCTTCGGTATGGCTACCCAAGGGTACCGCCGAAGATTTACTTAAATCAATGAAGCGCATTAAAATCTTTTCATCACGCTGACAGTCGGGATTCCACATTAGTTCCGCTGCCACGGTCTCCTCAATTTCCGTTCCGCCTGTTGTGTTGTTGGCAATAAATGCTGGTATCGAAGCCTGATAGGCTGAACCCAAATTCACCTTGGACTCATCGGAGAAGTCGACCAATCCCACCGGGTCATCATCAAAATCATCGAAATTATCGAAGGAGAGTAGAGAGCAACCCAGTTCTTTGAGAACATTACAATAAAGGCCATGACCCTTGCGTTCCGGGTTGAGTATGGGCGCCGGGGTATAGTGGGTCCTAGAGGGTTTCCTTAACTTCGATTTGTATGGCGATAGAGCCTGATATTTGGAATATGATTGGGAGCTGGATGAGTCGTGCGGATGCAATCCGCCGCCGCCAGCCTTAAGACGTCTTTTCAGTATGGAATTGGTTTGATTGGAAAGTGGTTGCAGAGAGGTTGAGGAGTAGGCGGGATTATTACGAGGTGTGTGTAATATTCGAGTTGGTTGTTGTTGTTGTTGTGAAGGAGGAGGTTGAGGATTCACTTGATTGTTGTGGTTGTTGCTACTACTGCTGCTACTTATGTTGCTACCTTCCCCTGCCGTTCCTGCAGGCTGTTCTAATTTTATTTCAATTTTATCGGTGGTACCACTGGTGGCATATATTATCGGTTGCATTAAGGCCTCATTAAGAGAATTTATATGTTGTTGTTGTTGCTGGGAGGAAGCCATATAATGTGTGGGTTGCTGTTGTGGGGCTTGGGTCATCTGTGCATTTCCTGGATTCTGGGAGCTTTGTACTTGTGGTGGTGTTATTGTTTGTACATTATAATGTATTGTTGTTGTTGTCGCCGGGGACGATGTTGTTGTTGTCGCTGCTGTCACTTGTTGGGAATTTTGTTGGGGAAGATTCAGAATCAATTGATTCACATCGTGTGTGGCCAATTGACCTCCGGCATCCAAGGCCAGTTTGAGGGTGGCCTGGTGCGGTTGCTGCTGCTGAAGAGGGTAGGCCAGGTTCTGGGTCATTTGATGTTGTTGTTGCTGCTGCTGTTGTTGGGGAATGTTTGACATTTGCTGTAGCTGCTGCTGTTGTTGTTGTTGCTGTTGCATGGAATTGACAATTTTCAGTTGACCAAAATCTCTGGGCGACGAAGACAACAGCGGATCCTCCGAATTTGGCATCATTTGCGACTGCAAACTCAGCCCAGGCAGATAATACAAATCGATGATGTTCTCCTGTTGACTTTCACAATTCAAATTCATTTGATCTTCGGTAAGGACCTCACGCAACACCTCCTTTACTTCCTCCGCCGTGCCAATGCCACTGGTGAAAAATGATTCCGACAAGGGGGAAGTGGCATTCCGCGAATCACTAAGGAATTCCTGATCCTCATCCAGGAAGGATAAATTCGCCTCGGCAAATTCCCGCAAATCACATTCCGTATCGGCACCCGAACCACTTAGTAAATCTTCAACTTTGATGTTCGAATCAAAGGAGTGGTCTTCGAGGACATTTTTCAACTTCAACACACGATCCTCAACCTGATCGCCGTGATTGCCATTACCACCCGAGAGCAGGGATTCACTAAAGAAAATATTTTGGCTATCACCAAAATGATGGTTGTCCTCAATGTAGGGGGAGGTTTGGGTAACATTTTCATGGCTGGATGGTGGTGTCGGATAGGCCAAGGGTGAATGTAGGGGAGAATTTAAATTGGGTGCGAACTGATGCCCACCTTTGAGGTCATTGGGCAGACTCAGGGTATGGGATCGCAGGTTATTTTGACTAAGTATCGAGGTTGTAGAAGAACTTCCGGAGGATGACGTAGAATTCTGCATAATCAGCTCTTTGGAATGGAAATGTTGGAAATTTGGTAAAGTTTGTTGTTGTTGGCAGGTATTTTGTTGTTGTTGCTGCTGCTGAGAGTCCATAATATTACCGTTCGCATTGTTGTTATTATTACTACTACTTTCGATAACCTCAAAATGTTCGGAATGTTCAGAGGTTGTGGGTGTATTAATGCCAGCCGCATTCGGCTCCATTTTCATAGGCTCTCCATTGCCACCCTCCTCGCTGAGCAGCTGCATGGTGTCCACGGTTTGTAGCAGCATTTCAGCCTCACTGACATTATAGACCTCAGCATCACCAAATAGGCCCGAACCATCACTGGTATAGGTCACAGTGTAGACCTCTCCGCTATTACTGTCCGAACCCTGGGCAATTGTCAGAGACAAAGGGGTACCATCGGCCAAGGTTAAATTTGTGGTGGTGGTATTACCATTCCCCTGATGCTGCTGTGTCTGCTGCTGCATTTGTTGTTGTTGCTGATGTTGCTGCGGTTGTTGCTGTTCCTCCTGTGTTTTCTTCATTTTCCCCTTCGTGGTAACCACCTGAACCTCTGAGGGTATTATAACACTACAATTATTTTTATTGGTTATTATTTGACGTGAAATGCCACCTAGTGGCATATTCGGATTGGGTTGCTTTTGGGTCACCGCTATGCGGGTGCCACGTTTCAACAACTCAATCAGGGTGGAATCTTTGGGATCTGTGGATGTTGAACGGCTGGTCGTTGTATTAATCGTTGTTGCTGCTCCGCTCGAGCTAGATGTTATGGCCTGGTATTTCGTTGAATTGGACGTAGAGGCAGTGGCTGTACCCACTCCAATATTATTCATTGTCTTTTGTTGTTGCTGTTGTGATTGTTTGTTGTTATTGTTGTTGCTATAAATCTCAATACTTTGCGGCAGATTCATTTCGGTCATATTGATTAGGGTTTTGGGCGAATTTTTCATTTGATTGGAGGTTGAGACTTGTTGTTGTTGCTGCTGATTTTGTTGTTGTTGTACTGTCATATTACCATTGTTGTTAATTGTATTCTGTTTGGGATTTAGAAAACTATCCAAATCACTAATTGATCTGCGCATTGTTGTCGGATTGGTTTGATTGTTGTTGGAGGGTGGGGCAGGAACTACAAAGGCACCCTAGGAAAGAAGAAGACGGGAAATATTATTAAAAAAATTAAAGGAGAATACTAAATATATGTACTACGAATAAATATGACACCTGTTCTTCTGAGATCCGATTTTTTCCATAGAAAAAAAAAGCCGATCTCAGTTGAACTGAGATCTCCGATTTTTTGCTATAGCAACCTCAGGTGAACTGAGGTCTCCGATTGAAATTGCATCGAACTGAGGTTTTTTCTATAGAACTCAGTCACTTTAGTTCGGACTTTTTTCTATTAAACAAAATCGGAGACCTCAGTTCGCCTGTGGACGCCTTTTTCTACAGAAAAAAATCAGAATCAGATCACATGATGACGACGTTTTCTCTACAATTTTTTTTTTGACATCTGAGGTCTACTTTTTTCTATAGAAAAAATCAGAATCGTCAGTTCAGCAGAGTTCTACATTTTGTATAAAAAATCTGAAACTTCAGTTCAGCTGGAGGCAAAGGTTTTTCTATTGGAAAAGAAATCAGTGAACTTAGTTCAGCTGAGGTCGGACTTTTTTTTATATAAAACAATCAGACCTCAGTTAATTTAAAAGCGGATTTTTTTGTATAGAAAAAACATAGTCATCAGTTCAATTGAGGCTGGACTTTTTCCTAAAGAAAACAATTCAGACCTAAATTCAAATGGGGGCAGATTTTTTTCTTTAGAAAAAAAATGGGAGACCTCATTTCACCTTGGGACGACTTTCTTTCTCAAGAAAAAATCGCTGAATGCAGTACCTATGAGGATTTTTTCTATAGAACAAAAACGGAGACCTCAGTTCATCTGAGAAAATCGGAAACCAAGTTCAGCTGAGAGCGAACTTTTTTTCTATAGAAAAAATGTATCGGAGACCTCAGTTCAATCTAGGACGATTTTTTCCTCTAGATAAAATCGCAAACTTCAGTTCACCTGAGGTAGGACTTTTACTTAAATTCATCTGAGGAAGACCTTAGCTCAGAGGAGGGCGAACTTTACTATAGAAACAAATTCAGACCTCTGTTCACTTGAAGGTGGACTACTTTCCAGACATCAGTGTACCTGAGGTCCGACTTTTTTCTTTACAAAAAAATTCAGACCTCAGAACACCTGAGGATGAGCTTTTTTCCATAGAAAAAAATCAGACATCAGTTCATCGGAGATCGACTGTTTATGTATAGAAAAAATCTAGCCTCAGATCACCTAAGAAAAAATCGGTCCTCAGTTTCAACTAAGGTCAACTATTTTTCTATAGAAACAAATCAAACCTCAATTCACCTGAAGACGATTATTGTTTATAGGAAAAAGCGACCTTTGTCCACCCGAGGAAGTCTATTTTTATAAAAAAAATCCGAACGAAGTTCAAACAGAGGGTCAATACTTCTGTATAGAAAAGAATTTCGATCTCAGATATTTTTCATCGCTGGACGACTATATTTTTGTATAAAGAGATCCGATCTCAGTTCACCTGAGGACGAAAATTTCTCTATAGAAATAAAATCTGACATCAGTTCCCCTGGGGCAATTATTTTTCTATAGAAAAAAATCAGAAGTTTTGTATAGATAAAATCCGACCTCATTTCCCCTGAGGATGATTATTTTTCTATAGAAAAAAACTCCAACCACCGACTAAAAAAATACGACTTCACCTAATTTCGGTTCAGAAAAACTCCGGCCTCAGCTCATCTGGGGACTATTTTTCTATAGAAAAGTCCGAATTTTTTTATAAAAAAATCGGACCTCAGTTCACTTGAGGATTACCATTCTTCTATAGAAAAAGTCCAATCTCAGTTTATCTAAGACCGAATATTTTTTACAATAAAAATCCGACCTCAGTTCACCGAGGACGACTGTTTTTCTATTAAAAAATCTGACCTCAATTCACAAAAGGATGGCTATTTTTTCTATAAAAAAATCGTCCTCAATTCACCCGGGGACGACTATTTTTCTACAGAAAAAATCACCGATTATTTTATTATTACGATTATTTAAAAAAGAAACTGATCTCAGTTCACCTGAGAATGAAGGTATTTATACCACCCTGGTCCCTTCGCACTTACCTTATTCAAATCTTTACTCCTCTTGCTAATGATCTTCTCCTCTATCAAGGCTCGCACACCAATGCTGGCCGTCTGCAGCGGCGGTCCACTGTTCTCCTTCTTTTCACTCTTCTTCGTTTCGGGATCCTTTTTAAAATAGCCACCATGCAGACGCATATGGCCATTCAGGGCGGGTACATTTTTAAATTTACGATGGCAAAGATTACATTCGACTGGCTTTTGATCGATTTTTACCAAATTAAAAAGTTGGGGATTGGTGGACATGGCATTGGAAAGGTCAATGTCGATTTCTTCCTCTTTGACTTTGGTGGTGACGACTGTGGCCTCTGTGGGCACCGCATTTGAATCTGTGGTGATTTCATCCACGGTGATGGCCACATTTTGGGAGGAGTTGAGCTGAAATACAACAAATCGAATTATTTGAATTCCGATCAAAAATGTATTCGATTCCTACCAATTGCATATTCCAAGTCCTGGGCCTTGGTGTTTGCACTTGTTGCTGCTGATTTGGCTGGGGATTTGTATCGATTTTATATGACTGGGAACTGGTGGGTGACGACACCGTAACCTGGGCCGTTGTCTGCTTCGTCTGCCGCATAATTTTACTGATCAAATCCAATTGTTCGCGGGTTAAACCATCTCCCTCCATATTTCCACTGTTATCGGTTAGGGTTATTGTGGCACCTGGGCCAGAGGTTAGACTACTTGCTGACGATGACGTCGACGACATTGATGACGAGGTGGTTGTAGAGGTGGGTGACAATAGCGTTACGCTGGTTGTCTTCAGTGGTACATTTAAAGCTTTCAATTCTTCTTCGGTTAAAGCTAGACCAGTGGCAGCATCAACTACTGTGCCACCATTTGAGAGATATGTTCCTAGACAGGTGGCACCATCCGGTGAACTGGCATCACCTAAAACGGATAGATCGATTTGTGTTATATTTGTAATTTTGATATGTTCGGGATGCTTACCATTTGCAGTAGCCGGGGATAAACTTAAATTCGAATTGGAATTATTATTTTGCGATCCGGAGAGTGTTTGATTCTGGTGTGGGGTTACAATGCCGGCGTGATGATTTTCGGTATGTCGTCTCAGGGATCGTGCATCACAATATGATTTGCCACAACCTTCAGCTTTACATTCATATGGTTTTTTGTTCCGATGGGTCATCATATGTCCATTTCTGGAAGGAGATTCGAAAGTGGGGATTTGTGTCAACAATTAAACAAACGATTAAAAAAGTAGCTAAGTTTGGCAGGGCCGCTATTTTCTTTTCTATGAAAAAATGTTTTTCTATAAAAAAAAAATCGACGTAGCTCAACTGAGGGCATGTGTTTATAGCAAAAAATCCGACCTCAGTTCACCTGAGGGCGACTGTTTTTCTATAGAAAAAATTTCGACCTCAGTTCACCTGAGGACGACTGTTTTTCTATAGAAAAAATTTCGACCTCAGTTCACCTGAGGACGACTGTTTTTCTATAGAAAAAATTTCGACCTCAGTTCACCTGAGGACTACTGTTTTTCTATAGAAAAAATTTCGACCTCAGTTCACCTGAGGACGACTGTTTTTCTATAGAAAAAATTTCGAACTCAGTTCAACTGAGGACGACTTTTTTTCTTTAGGAAAAATTTCGACTTTTTTCTATAGGAAAAATTTCGACTTTTTTTCTATAGGAAAAATTTCGACCTCAGTTCAAGTGATGACGACTGTTTTTCTATAGAAAAAAATTCAGGGCTCAGTTCAGCTGAGGACGACTGGTTTCCTATAGAGAAAAATCCGACCTCAGTTCAAGTAATGACGCAGTTTTCCTCATGTGACCTCATCAGACCTCACTCATGTGACGATGACTGATTCCTATAGAAAAAATCGGATACATCACATCAACTGAGAACAACTGTTTTTCTGTAGAAACAAATCCGACTTCATTTCACCTGAGGATGAACTTTCTATTAAAAAAACCCGACTTCAGTTTAACAAAGGGCGAATGATTTGCTATAGAAACAATCAGACCTCAATCCATGGTATAAAAAATTAATTCTCGAAGCATATCCACCCCAATATCCATTTATGTTTTTATTATCTGATTATGACAATTGTGTGGCATCTTAAAAAAATGTTTATTTTTTGTTGTCTATTAAAATGTGTGGATAAAAAATCTCTATTTTTGTTGTTGTTGGTTTAAAAATGTTTTTGATTTGTTGGCGTCACATTGTGCCACGTGTTAACAGATTTTTTTAGTAGCTGTCAGAGGAAATTCATCACCGTGCCGGAAATGATTTAAGTGGGTGAGACACATTTTCGGTTGATAAGCATATGTCAAATGCCGAAAGATGATGAAGAAGGTGAAGAAAATTAGAAGACGAAGGCAAAAAGTCAATGTAAAGTATCGTGTCGTGTCATGTCATGTCATGGAAAAATGTTTTACTAAAAAATAAAAATAGGAAAAATAAAACGCACACACAAATATCATAATCGTCAGGTGGAATATTAGTTCATGTCGTAATATGTGTCATATCACAACAAAGAGAACAACAACAAATTGATGGAATTTCTGACAAATTTTATGGGCGTTTTATTTCCATAAACATTAAGAAAATGATAAAAAAAATGAGGAGGGTATAAGGGTATAAGTTTGGGATTTATTTTTAAACATGACGAAATATTTGTCTGGGGTTTCATAGGTTTGTAGTATCGTTTACGGATTTATAGGTCTTCAATAAAAAAATAGTTTTTATGTTTCATTTTAAATAGACATCTAACAAAATCCGTAAATAATTTTGGAGAACCACTTATGATTGTTTTTAACTCTATTTCGGAGGCATACAAATTTCCAGATTTATTTTTCCATCATCACAAGATCGAAATAAAAATTATAGCCTTGACACTGAATATACAGACAATGGGGTGGAACCTTTGTACGAAATCATGGGCCTATTTTTACAAATACACCGAAATGACAGATTACCGCCACTTAGGTTGCAAAATGCGGAAAAAAACTTCAATATACCGACAATCAGAACGTGTAGTTATATGCTAAAAATTTTTTTCCAACAATATCACAAATCCAACTCGCTGGGAAAATGAGCCTAGGAGTATTAAAATAGTTAGCATGAGACAGGGCCGTTATATGGCGGATAAACGTGGAACGATACTAATAACTCTTGGTAGGAATCTTTGCTACAAATTGTGAACCCTAACAATCAAATTAGAGACTATATGGTTGAAACACATATTTCAAGTCCTCATAATATTAAACACTGGGGTTATACCTGAACGCGGTAAAGACCCAAATGTTAAAATATTAACAATTTTGTTGAAAATCGTGTCTGAAATCCTCAGAATACCAGATATTCAGCATACTGTTTTTTATATGGTGATAATCCAAAATATAATATTACAGCCACATTGATTGAAAATCGTACCCAACCCGCCTAAAAAGCGAACCAATATTTGTCATTTATAGATTATTGCCAAATTGTATTAATATACACAGTGCCGAATTTTGGATGTATGCCTATAAGCCCGAAACAATCGACAGTGTGTATGTCTTCGAATTCGAGTCAAATCCAACAAAAGTTGCAACTCGAAAACTTTGATATGGCGACATTTCCGTTTTAACAATGTAAAACGGTAATTTCTGAATGGCACTCCACAATTTGGTCTCGAGAAGTTCGAAAACCGAACAATACACTATGACAATGGGAACTCTCACACATCAGTTCAAACCAGTGTTTGTTTGACCGATCAAAACGTGGAATTGATATGTCATACGAGAAGTAATTGACACCCAATTACTTATTTTTGATGGTCAATGATTTTCGTTGCCGAAACATCCGAGAAGTTGATTCGTATGCACACAACAAAAAATCAATCGACCGTGTTGGTCCTTTCGCCTGTTCCATTGATAAACTGGTAATGTGGCGATTATTTCGTTCCATAGAAGCGTGAATCGCAACCTATTATCTAAGCCCCACCACAATTTGTTTGCCCTCGAAGTCTTCGGAGCCCTTCATTACAATGTACGATCTCACACACCAGCTTAACCCAGTGTCGTTTTGTTCTGCCAAAACGTGAAATGGATAGGTCAAAAGCCCTGACGTGAATACCAATGATTTCTATTAATTCACACACATCATGGAAAACTATGTGTGGTCTTCAATTTTCGTAGCCCCAATATGGTCTGTGAAATTTGTTAATGGTAAAAGCACTTCGAAGCAAATAGTCGACCGTTGATCGGCAAAATCGGCCAAGAGACGCTTCACCAACGTAGGACGATCAATTCTGAGTGGTACACCAATATTTGTTTGACTTCGAAGTCTTTGGAGAAATTCGAAAGCACAATCTGAGAAGAAGTATTAGTGTGCGCCATGACAATACGAACTCTCACATATCGGCTAAAAACTAGTGCGTTCGTCGGGCAAAAAAGTGAATTTGATATGGCATCCGGCGCATAGGCCTCACTTCCTGTTTATTTCCACACATTATGAAAAAACGTCGCATGTATCCTTGGCAATCCTTGGTGGCTGCGGTCCCACTTGAGCAACGTAGAGCGGTAAATCAGTGGCACACAATCATTTGTATGCCTTCGAAATCCTCGAATAAAAAATTTAAAAAATTTAAAAAATTTAAAATCGTGAATGGGAAGTTCCCTTAATTGGTCCAAGGATGAATCCCGATGAAATTTGTTATAATCGGTTCAGATTTAGATATAGCTTCCATATATATTTTCGGTCCATTTTATGTAAATGGTGCACCATTGTCCCAATGTATTATGTTACTTTTGTACAGCGTACAAATTTCAACCTGTACTAACCCTTAGTCGGTTCAGATTTAAATATAGCTCTCATATATATGTTTGTACGAATTCATCATAATGGTGCTCCAAACGACCCATGGATTATCTCATTTACACGAAATTTGCTACATCTCACTGTATTGAGTCGAAAATGATTAGTGCTGTGTTCAAATCGGTTCTGATTTTTATGTGGGTCTGATATATTATATATTGTCTTCCGATGCCATGTAAATACATATAAATAAATAATACACCTACGTCCTTCAGAATGGAACGTATTTGAATGTGTTACAATAGAATTCTTTGGGTCTATGATTTATATTCCAAAGTTGTGTAGGATATCATATAGCATATTACCGACCCATTGGTATTATTTTCTATATGTCAATCCTATGGGTGTACTCCACCTCGTTCAGTAGTAAAAAATATAATCATTACCTTTACCTAATAAGAGTTTCGTATGGGACGTTTTATGTTCTAAATATTTTATGCATTTTTTCTAAAATTAACTTTCTTTCTTTAATCCTAAAAATGTCTTTTATAAAAAAAAAATATTTTTTTATATTTTAATAAAATTGACACTTACAAGTGATCTTGTCGCTTAAATGCCTTTGAGCACATAACACACACGTATTTCCGTTCGTCACTGTGCGTCAGTTTGTGTTTGGCCAAGGCAGATGCATTTCCAAAAATTTTATTACAAATCTGTAACGAGACAAGATAAAATAAGAAAAAAAATTAACATCAAATATTAAAATAAACCACCAAAAAAAGAAACAACAACCCATTTTAAAAAATTGGATCCACCACGCCAAAAAATATTTGAAACAAAAATATGTTTTAATTAGATGACGAGCTGTGGCGTTTTTCCGCCTCTGCATTCCCTTTTCCATTTGCCTTAAAATTAGATTCTGTTCTATTTTTTTTGCTATTCTTTACACATTTAGCCATCCATTCATACAAAAAATATGCGCCATCCTATACCGCGTCTTCCCTTCCGTTTCAGGGATCCATGTCTAACCATGTGAATGGTTCGGTGTTTAATTTTTCTTGTGGTCGGAAGGGTATGGCTATGACGATTGGTTACTGTTTTTGTTGTTGCAGCTGTTAATACTAATTGCGTTGTGGTTTGTAGTTTGCTTCAAACATATAGACAGTCAGACATACATCCATACACACATGTCTCGAAGCAATTTCTTTTTTCATTATTTTTTGTTGCTAGTACCACTATATGAACACCAAAAATATATATAGAGAATGCACTGGGAAAAATAATAGAGTAATTTGCAGGGCCAAAAGCCAATATTTTTTAAAAAGTCATGTCTTTGGTAAAAAAAATGTTCTTTAAAAAACCACGCCTTTGGCGAAAAAATATTCCCTAAAAATCCCATGTCAGAAAAAAAAATATTCTTTAAAAATCCACGCCTATGGTCGGAATATTTCTTCGCTAAATGTTATTTAAAACCACACCTACCTTGAAAAAAAATATTTTTCAAAATCCATGCCTTTGGCCGGAATTTATCTACAAAAAAAAAATTTAAAAATCCAAGCCTATATCGGTACTATTTTTTCAAAAAATTATTGAATAATCCATAATTTTTGGAAAATTTTTTTTCTCAGTGTATTTATGTTTATTCATGTTTTTTGTACACATCTTGTCAAGTACATTTCATTTTTTCTTGTCTCGGACGAAGAGAATGAAGCGAACGAAGACGTAATGAAATTAAAAGAAAATACATTCCTTTATGTTTTAGAAATTGTTCGTCATTTTTTTTTTTCAATTTTTTTGCTGAAACTAATTGGTATAGTTTCGTAATTTTTTTTCTTAACAAGATGATGCGTAAACGCACTAAATGAGAAGAAGTCTATGCTTTGCTTAGGTTTCTTTACTAGTTGTTGTACTAATTCTAAAAAAAATAGCAAAACAAAAAATTTTAATAAATATTCAAAAATTGTGTTACTTTAGTTTTCAATTTAATTAGAAATGTATGGTAGCAATTTTTCCTTAGTAATGAGATCAGAACATGTTTTTTTGACGGGCAGACCTTCACAGTGGTTGACGCGCTCAGTGAACAATGGCGAAAAAATTAGCAATTAGTAACACGGCTGATGGCAGTGTTAATTTTAAAGAAAAAAATAAAAGAAATCAAGATATATTCGGCCGAGGCGTAGGCATAGTCTAAAGTCCATAAGAAGCGTGGATTTGTTAAAGAATATTTTTCAAGGACTATATGAGCCGTGGATTTTTTAAAGAATATTTTTTCAAGGCCTATCCAAGACGTGGATTTTTTAAAGTATATTTTTTTCAAAGACCACTACAAGACGTGGATTTTTAAAGTATATTTTTTTTCAACGACTATAAGAGGCGTCTATTTTTTTAAAGAATATTTTCAAGGAGTATAAGAGGCGTGGATTTTTTAAAGAATATTTCTTCCAAGGGGGTGGCGTAGGGGATGATAGATACCAAGCAACGGCTCTGATTAACTTTAACATGGCGAAGTCCAGGCTTATCTTGGTCCCTCTTTCATCTATAAAAAAAAATGGGTTGAGTCGTCGGGTTAGTTGCCCACTCTCGGAAAACCCAACCTACTATGAAAAAGCTACGAAAACGAAAACCAAACCCCCCTAATGTTGACGACCCCCGCAAACATATAAAGGACCACGATCTGCGAATTTGCACTTGGAATGTGCACACGTTGTACACAACAGGCGCAGTTTTCGCTTTGGCGGATGTACACGTTTTGGCGTAAGTAACTCAGATGATTATGCCCTGTATTATAGCTGCCATGAAACGAGACATGAATTTGGCTGCGGATTTATGGTTAACAGGAGAATAAAAGACCTCGTCTACAGATTTACTCCAGCAGATGAGCGAATGACTATAAACCGTATAAAAGCGAAGTTCTTCTACATCAGTCTCATTTGCGCCCATGCTCCGACCGAAAATAAAGACGAACAGACCAAAGACATATTTTACGAGTGCCTAGAAACAGCATATGACCGTTGCCCTGGCCATGAAATTAAAATTCTCCTAGGAGATTTTATTGCAAAAATCGAAAGGGAAAATATCTTTGGCCGCACCGTCGGAAAATTCAGCATTCATGAAGAAACATCTGACAACGGCATGAGGTTGATTGAAAAAAACATAGTGTTAGCAGCAACAGATTCAATAATCTCGATATACACAAGGCCAACTGGATCTCTCCTGATCAAGCAAGGAGAAATCGAATTGATCATGTTGTGATAGACGGAAGGCATTCATCCAGTGTTTTAGACGTCCGATCGATCTGAGAAGCGAATATCGATTCGGACCATTACCTTGTGGCAGCCAAGGTACGCACACGTCTTAATGTACAAGCAAAGGTGCGATTTAACACAAAACGGAAACTCGACTTCGAAAAGCTGCAAACACAACATGTAGCCGTGGTCTACTCCGCTCAATTTACCCACCTGCTTGAAGAAAGCACTTATTGTCCCGAAAATAGTATAGAAGCACAATGGCAAAGAATTGTCCACTCCCTCCCTGCAGCAAAAGCAACACTTGGGTACCAAAAACCACCACCAAGAAAACCATGGTACGATCAGGAGTGTCGTAATGATAGTGATGTGAAAAACGCAGCGTATAGGGCAACCCTGCAGACAGTAGCAACACGTAATGTGATGTAGAATTGTCGGGAGAAAAGGTGAGAGGAGAAACGTGTTTTCAGAAAAAAGAAGAAAGAACAAGAAAAACGTGAGCGTGAGCAAATCGAGATGTACAGGAGTTAGAATGAAGTCCGGAAATGTTACCAACGAGTAAAACACCAAACCGAAGGCTTTGGTGCAGGCATATCCTCCTGTAGAGATGAAAAAGGAAACCTAATGGCAGCTTCTGGTATGATATAGTGGCGGTGAAGAAGATACCCCAGAACCAATAATAGATGATGGTATAGAGTTTATACCACCTAGCCAAGATGAGGTCATAAAAGCTCAAGGACAATAAAGCAGCAGGAGCCAACGGGTTATCGACTATTCATGAGTGGTGCTCAGATGCTGGTCAGGAGCATGCACCAGCTGATTTGTACAATTTGGCTAAAAGAATGCATGCCAAATTATTGGAACCTCAGCATCTTGTGTCCCTTGCACAAAAAAGAAGACAAGACGATATGTGCCAACTATAGAGGGATAGTTCCCATCGCATATAAAGTGTTATCCAACGTACTGTGTGAACGACTGAAGCCAATGGTCAATGACATTATTGGACCATACCAATGTGGCTTCAGACCTGGCAAATCTACTATTGACCAGATTTTAACTCTGCGCCAAATCCTGGAAAAACCCACGAAAAACACATCGACACATTCCGCCTATTCGTCGACTATAAAGCCGCATTCGACAGCCTTATCCGTTCAGAGGTGTATAAAGCCATGTCTGCGTTTGGCATTCCTGCAAAATTAATTCGGCTATACAGGATACTTTAACAGGCACAAGATCAGCAATTAAAGTCGGAAATGACCTCTCTTTAATAACGAACGAGGATGCAGACAAGGTGATGGTTTGTCGTGTGACCTTTTTAACATCCTGCTGGAAAAAGTCATACGGAAGGCAAAAGTGAACAGAAATGGCACTCTATACACCAAACAACACATGTTACTCGCCTACGCTGATGACATCGAACAATGAGAGCCACCTTTGAACAAATTGAGAAGGAGTCTGCCAAAGTGGGTCTGGCTGTAAACGGCGAGAAGACCAAGCTGATGGTATCAACGGGCAAGACGTCCAGTACACTCGGACCAGTTGTGGAACTTGAGAATTACAGTTTCGAGGTAGTCAAAGATTTTATATACCTTGATACCGCCATAAATAAAACGAATGACATCAGTTTTGAAATTCGGAGAAGGATAGTGATGGCCAAGAGATGCTACTATGGTCTGAGCAAACAACTCAAAGGCAAGGCCACTTCCCGCCAGACCAAACTCACACTCTACAAGACGCTGATACTACCCGTGCTGTTATATTGATCTGAAGCATGGGTACTTACGCAAGCAGATGAGGCAGCTCTTGAAGTATTTGATAGACACATTCTCCGATATATCTATGGGCCGATCTGCGTTGACGGTGAATATCGCCGTCGAATGAACCATGAGTTGTACCAGCTATTCTCGGACATCGACATTGTTAGACGTATTGAGCTGCAGCGACTACTTTGGCTAGGTCATGTTGTGAGAATAGATGAAGATGCCCCAGTCCAGAAGGCATATAAAAGCGCAGAAGGGGAAAGGCCAAGAATACGATGAAAAGATCAAATCGAATACAATATTGCCGAAAATGGTCTTTCAAATTGGAAAAACTGCGCAAAAGACCGACACGCATGGAAATCTTTTGTAAGCTCGGCTTATGGAACGAAAGTTCTGTCACAAGCCAGCTAAGTAAGTATGTAAGTGAAGGGTATCATATAGTCGGCCCCGTCCGACTGGTTTTTATAAGACACATGGATTTTTTTAAAAATATACTTTTAAGGGACTATAAGAGGCATGGATTTTTTAAAAATATGTTTTAGAAGAGGCGTGATTTGGCTAAATCTACATATATTCAATAGGATCCCCAGTGAATATTTCAAGATGTTCAAACCAAAATGACAATTTTAATCTCCACCTTATTGTTAGGCGTATAAAAATTTGGTAGTAAATTTTTAAAATCAAAATCATTTTTTTTTATCTCACCTGACACTGCTGCGGACCGTGACGACTGGGCGCCGAAATCTTTGAACGATTTTTCTTTAAGATTTTCGCAGAATTTGCAACGCTGCTGTTGTTGTTGCTATTATTATTATTTGCTACTGTTGCTCCTCCCACTACCGTGGGAGATTGTGACAACGCCGACGATGATGATGACGACAATGGGCCGCAAGGAACTTTTCTTGCACCGTGACTTAACGATGTTATGCTGCGGGCAATTGAGTTACCACTACTGCTGTTGCTGCTATAGCTAAAGCAACTATCGTTGCTGCTCGAACTGAAATTGCTGTTGCTGCAACTGTTGTTGTTGTTGGAAGTGTTGTTGCTACTATTATTTTGAGTGCTAAGTTGTTGTAACAAAGTACCATTCGAATGATGATTAAGGGAATTCAAAGAGTTGTTGTTGCTGTTGGAGTTGCTGTTACTGCTGTTGTTGTTGCCATTTCCCGACGTACTACTATTGCTCATTATCTGAGCCAATGATGTAATGTTGGTGGTGTTGCTGCAACTGCTGCTGCGTATTAGACAATTTTTTATATAACTATTGGTTTTATTCACACTTGTCGGTGTGGTATTGGTGGACGTTGAAACGGTTTGTACGCCAGATGCTATAACTTTGTTGCCAATATTTGTTACATTGTTGCTGCTGCTGTTGTTGTTACTACCGTTGTTGTTGTTATTACTGGGGGAGGTACGTTTACTAATGGTAATCCGATTCTTCAATGAACCATTTAAACTTGTGTGAATTATTGTATTATCACTGGTGTTGTTGTTGTTGCTGCTGGGGATGTTGCTACTATTCACTTTGGCGGAATTCACTTTTGTACTATCACTGGCACTGACGCTGGTATTTTTCAAAGCTGCAAAAACAAATTAAAAAAAAAAAATGTATTGGTTTTCTATATAGGCGTTGACTTTTTAAAGAATATTTGTTCATGGTCTATCCAAGGCGTGGATTTTTTAAAGAATATTTTTGAGATGGCCTATGCAAGGCGTGGATTTTTTAAAGAATATTTTTCAAGGCCTATGCAAGGCGTGGATTTTTTTAAGAATATTTTTGAGAAGGCCTATCCAAGGCGTGGATGTTTCAAACAATATTTTTTCAAGGACTATAAGGAGAATGTTTTTCAATGCCTTTCCAAGGCGTGGATTATTTAAAGAATATTTTTTCAAGGCCTATCCAAGGCGTGGATATTTCAAAGAATATTTTTCAAGGCCTATCCAAGGCGTGGATGTTTCAAACAATATTTTTTCAAGGACTATAAGGAGAATGTTTTTCAATGCCTTTCCAAGGCGTGGATTATTTAAAGAATATTTTTTCAAGGCCTATCCAAGGCGTGGATATTTCAAAGAATATTTTTCAAGGCCTATCCAAGGCGTGGATGTTTCAAAGAATATTTTTTTAAGGCCTATCCAAGGCGTGGATGTTTCAAATGCCTATACAAGACGTGGATGTTTCAAAGAATATTTTTTTCAAGGACTATAAGAGGCGTGGACTTCTTCAAAAATAATTTTCAAGGCCTAAATAAGGCGTGGATGTTTCAAAGAATATTTTTCAAGGACTATCCAAGGCGTGGATGTTTCAAAGAATATTTTTCAAGGACTATCCAAGGCGTGGATGTTTCAAAGAATATTTTTTCAAGGCCTATCCAAGGCGTGAATGTTTCAAAGAATATTTTTCAAGGCCTATCCAAGGCGTGGATGTTTCAAAGAATATTTTTTTAAGGCCTATACAAGGCGTGGATTATTTAAACAATGATTTTTCAAGGCCTAAATAACGCGTAGATTTTTTAATGAATATTTTTTCAAAGACTAAAAGAGGCGTGGATATTTTAAAGAATATTTTTTCAAGGCATATCCAAGGCGTGGATGTTTTAAAGAATATTTTTTCAAGGCCTATCCAAGGCGTGGATGTTTTAAAGAATATTTTTTCAAGGCCTATCCAAGGCGTGGATTTTTCAAAGAGTATTTTTTCAAGGCCTATCCAAGGCGTGGATGTTTCACAGAATATTTGTTTCAAGGCCTATCCAAGGCGTGGATGTTTCACAGAATATTTGTTTCAAGGCCTATCCAAGGCGTGGATGTTTCAAAGAAAAATTTTTTAAAACCTATCCAAGGCGTGGGTGTTTCAAAGAATATTTTTTCAATGCCTATACAAGGCGTGGATGGTTCAAAGATTATTTTTTCAAGGCGTAGATGTTTCTAAGAATATTTTTTCAAGGCCTATCCAAGGCGTGGATGTTTCAAAGAATATTTTTTCAAGACATATCCAAGGCGTGGATGTTTCAAAGAATATTTTTCAAGGCCTATCCAAGGCGTGGATGTTTCAAAGAATATTTTTTCAAGGCCTATCCAAGAAGTGGATTTTTTGAAGATTATTTTTTCAAGGTCTATCCAAGGCGTGGTTGTTTCAAAGAATATTTTTTCAAGGCCTATCCAAGGCGTGGTTGTTCCAAAGAATATTTTTTCAATGCCTATCCAAGGCGTGGATGTTTCAAAGAATATTTTTTCAAGACCTATCCAAGGCGTGGATGTTTCAAAGAATATTTTTTCAAGGCCTATTCAAGGCGTGAGTGTTTCAAAGAATATTTTTTCAAGGCCTATCCAAGGCGTGGATGTTTCAAAGAATATTTTTTTAAGACCTATCCAATGCGTGGAAGTTTCAAAGAATATTTTTTCAGGGACTATCCAAGGCGTGGAAGTTTCAAAGGATATTTTTTAAGGACTATCCAAGGCGTGTTTTTCATTTTTTATATGTTTTCAAGGCTTATCTAAGACAAGGCCTATCCAAGTTGTAGATCTTTCCAAGGCCTATTCAGACGTGCATTTTGATTATTTATTTCATTTAAATATTTATTTCCAAAATCAAAGTAACACATCTTTAAAAAAGAAAAAAAAATAAACCCTTTGTACTTACACGCTGTTTGTAATGTTCCCAAGACATCAGCCAACATTTCTGGATCTGGATAACCAATGGTTAATGCATTATCCAGTGTTGTGGCCGTATTTGCACTGGTCGACGTCGTCTGTGACTGTGCCGGTGACGATTGCTGTTGCTGTAGCTGGTGTTGATGCTGCTGCGAATGTTGGTGCTGTTGCTGCTGCGAATGTTGGTGCTGTTGCTGCTGCTGATGCTGTTGTTGGGCCGACTGTGTGTGATTGTGACTGATGTAATGTGACGCTGAGGCTGCTGATGAGGCGGACGATAAATTGGAATCATTGGAATTGACATCTCTTAGATGTAGTGTCACAGAGGCTTCGGTACCCACAGAAGCACTACACATCAGCACACGTGGCGCCGATGATAGACTTGTCGTCAATGGCAGGTGAATACTTTTGGTAACCTGAAAAGAAATATTTGAAGGCAAATAGGAGGAACATTATTAGTCACTTGGTTACAAAATATTATTTTAGAATTATATTTTAAAGCATTATTTGTAATTTATATTTGTCATTGTTGCAATTTTTACTGTGGGGGTGAACAACAAAAAATGTAAATGTTCTGCAGAATTTTATATTTCGCTATGCTGAATGCTTGCGCCAACATTTATAATTAATTAGATTATTTGTTTGATTTTTTTTCTGTGTTGACAATAGACAATTCATTTTGATGACTGCATTTTGATTTCCTAATATTGTTGCTAATCTGCAGACATTTGCTTTAGATTTTTGGCAGTAAATAATAGAGAGTTCTATTTTTATTAATAATGCATTTTAAATTTGCTTCAGTACTGAACAACAATGTTGAATGCAACATAATGAATCTCAAAAGCGAATTTAGAAAAAAAAAACAATAAGGAAAGCAGTAAAGTCGGACGGGGCCTACTTTACGATACACTTCACCACTTTGGCATATTCAACAGAATCCTAACAGAAGTCGAATTTTTGAAGGACCAGTAAAATGATATTGGATCCCTAAACATGTAATTCTGCAACCGATACAAAATTTTTCATTTGGTCAGATTTAGAAGCTATATCTAAATCTGAACCTATTTCAGGAAACTTAACACACATCATTCTAGACCTAATTCATTACGTGCATCATTTACATTAAATCTGACAAAAATATATGGAAGCTATTTCTAAATCTGAACCTAAAATCAGACTAAAATATATATGGGAGCTACATCTAAATCTGAACCGATTTTCACGAAACTTAAGACACATCATTCTAGACCTAATTCATTACACTGTGCCAAATTTCGTGCAAATCGAAAGATATATAGGGACTTTGGTGCATCATTTACATTAAATCCGACGAAAATATATATGGGAGCTATATCTAAATCTGAACCGATTTTCAGGAAACTTGGCAGACATCACTCTAGGCTTAATACAGTGCGTCATGCCAAATTTCGTGCAAATCGAAAGATATATAGGGACTTTGATACACCATTTACATGAAATCGGACGAAACTATATAAGGGAGCTCTATTGAAATCTGAACCGATTTTCAGGAAACTTGGCAGACATCACTCTAGGCTTAATACAGTACGTCATGCCAAATTTCGTGCAAATCGACAGATTTATAGGGACTTTGGTACAGCATTTACATTAAATCGGATGAAAATATATATGGGAGCTTTATCTAAATCTGGACCAATTTTCACGAAACTTGACAGACATCACTCTAGTCTGAATTCAGTACGTTATGCCAAATTTCGTGCAAATCGAAATATAAATAGGGACTTTGGTGTACCATTTACACGAAATCGGACGAAATTACATATGGGAGCTATATCTAAATCTGAACCGATTTTCAGAAAACTTAACACACATCATTCTAGACCTAAGTCAGTACTCTATGCCAAATTTCGTGCAAATCGGAAGATATATAGGGACTTTGGAGCATCATTTACATTAAATCGGAAGAAACTATATATGGGAGCTATATCTAAATTTAGACCGATTTTCACGAAACTTGACAGACATCACTCTAGGCTCAATTTAGTACGTTATGCCAAATTTCGTGCAAATCGAAAGATATATAGGGACTTTGGTAACCGTTTACATGAAATCGGACGAAACTATATATGGGAGCTATATCTAAATCTGAACCGATTTTCACGAAACTTGGCAGACATCGTTCTAGACTCAATTCAGTAAGTTATTCCAAATTTCGTGCAAATAGAAATATATATAAGGACTTTGGTGCACCATTTACATTAAATCGGACCAAAATATATATGGGAGCCATATCTAAATCTGGACCGATTTACACGAAATTTGGCAGACATTACTCTAGGCTCAATTCAGTACGTTATCCTACATTTCGTGCAAATCGAAATATAAATAGGGACTTTGGTGTACCATTTTCATTAAATCGGACGAAAATATATATGGGAGCCATATCTAAATCTGGACCGATTTTCAGGAAACTTAACACACATCATTCTAGACCTAATTCATTACGCTATGCCAAATTTCGTACAAATCGACAGATATATAGGGTCCATTTACCTTAAATCGGTCGAAAATATATATGGGAGCTATATCTAAATCTGAACCGATTTTTCACAATTATGATAGGGTTCGTCCTTGGGACAAACAAATGAGCTGTGCCAAATTTCATCCAAATCGGATTATAAATGCGACCTGTACTTTGGACGGACGGACATGCATAAATCGACTCAGAAAGTGGTTATATGCATATTCTCAAAAGGAACTATGGGTCTATCTGGTTTTCTTTTGCCTATTACAAACATATGCATAAATACATAATACTCGGTACCATAGTGTGGTGCAGGGTGAGGGGTATAAAAAATATAAATGGTATAGGGTGCACTGTTATGGACCCCCTTCGACTTTAATCCTTTTTCTTTCAGCTTTAATTAAATAAATCGATTTAAGCCGATTACAATACAAATTCATATTCGATCTGGTTGTATCCATTTAATACCAAATAAAATACGAATTTTACATTTTCAACATTCAGATATTCTGAAAAATAATTGAAATATATTTCACAAGAGCCAGCAGCCGTACACCTGTGGTCGGTATGTGTGGCAGAGTGCTTTACATTCTAAAAATACAATTCGATATTTTCAAGAGAAATGTTGATGGACTGGAAAAACAAGTGAATGATGAGAAGTGTAGAGGTAATGTACATTGATGGTACATACACCTGTGGCTGATTGATAGTTTGAGGGAATGAATGGAAATATTTTTTTTATTTATTTGAAATAAAAGGCTTTTAAAAAATTCAAAATAAAAGATAGACAGACACACACGAAAAAATACAACTTAAGCTCCATATATATATATATATATATATATACATAAAAAAAAAAAAAAAAAAAAATTTATTGAATTGAAGAAAATATTTGTTTGTTGTAGTTTATAGAACATGACGTTGTTGTACATGCGGTCGACAAATATATGCATAGATATATGGGAAAGAAGAAGACTTATGCTTCATGCACATCGAAAGACACACCGACAGACTATGAAGCAGACAAATGCCGTTTGTATTTAAATATTTTTTGTTGTTATTATTTTTTCTATTTGTTTCGTTTTCTTCAACAGACAATTCGTTGTGCCCTAAATCCATTCTAAACAAACAGGACCATATGACAGAGATAAGAAGCCAAACATGTTTCTTCTTTGCAGGTTTTTTTGAATTTATACGATTGGTACTGTCCAACGAAATAAGAACAACAACATCGTACAACATCAACATGAGTACAAATTTATGCATAAACTAAGAGAAAAATGCGCTTCTAGCCAATTGCAGATAACGAAGATATTCCACATTACATGTAGATATGTATGTTCCTACATACAAACAAAAATAAATATGTATTAGTACAATAAAAATATGTTTTATATAATTCTTCAAGAGTTTGCAGTTATTTTAATTTATTTCAATTTTGTCGATTCCCTTCTTGTCGATTGGCGAACGTATAATTGATGGAATTGAACGAAACCCTTTCAAAATGCATTTATATCCCGAAATTTAACAATAAGAAAGGATTAAAATTTGGCGATTCTCCAAAATTCCTAGGATTTTGTCTATTGTTGTATCAAATCAATAATGCCTAATTTCATTTGAATTATTTCGTCCGGTTTTTTTTTTTGACCAACAAACGGAGGGTATATCGATCAACCGAACATGGATATTATTAAACACTTGAATAATTTTATTAATTATTGTAGACAAATTGTACACGTTCATTGGGAAAATATTTAAGATTATTCCAAGTCTATATCTGGCCAAAAAGAGTTATTACAAGAAATGAGCATTCTGGCTGAGTAGTCCTGACCCGCCAATAGTAAGAACCCTGTTTCGATATTAACCATTATTGTTTGAAATTGGGGAGTTCACTTAAAATAAAAATCTATACAATAATTTTGTAATGAAACAAAAGTCATTCCCTGGCTGGCCTATGCATTTTTACTTATTCTATATATCTTATTCTATATATCTTACGAAAATATATATGGGAGCTATATCTAAATCTGAACCGATTTTCCCGAAATTTACCACTCATCATTCTACACTTAATTCATTACGGTATGCCAAATTTTGTGCAAATCGAGCGATATAAAGGTACTTTGGTGCACCATTTACATAAAATCGGTCGAAAATATATATACGAGCTATATCTAAATCTGAACCGATTTCCACGAAACATAACAAACATCGTTCTTGAGTTAATTCAGTACGCTGTACCAAATGTCGTGTAAATCGAGCGATATATAGGGACTTTGGTGCACCATTTACATAAAATCGGACGAAAATATATATGAGAGCTATATCTAAATCTGAACCGACTTTTCCCATTTTCAATAGCCTTCGTCCTTGGGTCAAATAAGTGACGTATGCCAAAGTTCATCCAAATCGGATCATAAATGCAACCGGTACTTTGTTCACAATTTAACATGGATAGACCGACGGACGGACGGACATGCATAAATCGACTTAAAAAGTGATTCTATGCATATTATCTAAATGAACCATGGGTCTATCTCGTTTAATTTTGCCTGTTACAAACATATGCACAAAGACATAATAACCTGTACCACAGTAGGGTGAAATGTATATAAATATATATTTCAAAAAAAAAAAAAGCGTTAAGTTCGACCGGGCCGAATTTTGTATATCCTCCACCATAGATATACTGACAGGTAGTTGAAATGAAAATATAGGGAAAATACCAAAAAGTCGACCTATACCGACATTTCTACAAATCTATTATGTAAACCATAACACACATTTCAAAATGGATAATTATACCCTTAGTCTTATGGCTAATGAAGGTGTATACACTCTGACACGGTGAAAATGTGCCTCATCGAAATATATTTGTTTTAGACCCTATGTTTCTTTGGACAAAATCAGAAA